ACTGCAATGTGAAAACGCTAGTTAAGTGGAACATAAAGGCTTGTCTCATATTTGCCAAAAAAACACCTTGTTGACCCTCAAGCCTTTTGGAATCATGTTATGGCGACTGATCAAAAGCGGAAGTCAGAGGTCGTGTTACATCTGGTGTAAAGCAAACACAGTATTCAACAATAAGAACAACATACCAACAGTCAAACATGGTGGCGGCAGTGTGATGGTATGGGGATACTTTGCTGCTGCAGGGCCTAGGCAACTTGCTATTGTTGACAGGACTATGCCTGGTCATCAATCCGTGATCTGAGTCTCAAACGCTATACGGTTATGCTGCAAGATGGTGATTCGTAACACAAGAGCAAGTCTACCTCTATATGGCTCAAAAGATGACAAACAGGGTTTTGGAGTGGCCGAGTCAAAGTCCTGAACTGAAGCCCACTGAGATGCTGTTAACCCCTCAAAAGGCCAGGGCCCCCCCGACAGGCCCAAAGTTTTAGAACACGCTTCTATAACCTAAGAATAGCTCAACCAGCTTTAATACGTAATAAGTCTGGAATTTTAAGGGGTTAAACGGACAGTTCATGCTCAAAAGCCCTCTACTGTAGCTGAATTAAAGCAGTTCTACAAAGAAGAGTGGGTCAAAATTCCTCCAAAGTGGTGTGATCGCCAGATATAGGAAGCAATAAATAAGAAAAATTGAGGAAATCAGGAGAGAGGCAAACATTTTTCACAGCACTCTACATGTGGACCCCCCCTCATAATTAGCGGGTTTGGTTATTTCAGCTGCATCCAGTGTTAACAGGTGCATACAATTACACATACAGCAATCTCCATAGACACTGTTATAGGATGTCAACTTTTTAAAAAGTAATTTTAAAAAGTCAAATTTCTGCCTGCAGTGGCACCTGCCTCAAAGTATCAAAGTTGTGTAAAGCACATTGCTATTAAATTATGGAGCAGTGTTAATGCATTTCCTGGAGTGATGAATCATGCGTCACCATCTGAATCTGGGTTCGGTGGATGCCAGGAGAAAGCTACCTTCTTGAATACATAATGACGACAGCTGTAGTTTGGCAGAGGAGGTATGATGGTCTAGGGTCGGTTTTCATTGTCTAGGGCTGGGCTCCAGTGAAAGGAAAACTTAATCTGTTGATGGCTGTTATTGTCGCAGTTCTACAAGCTTACTTTGCACACACTTTATTTGGTGTTTTGTTCAGTCTTCAGGTGGGGTTAAGGCAGAATTTAGTCAGGCTATAGAGGGCCTTCTTCAAGGAGAGGAATGGGAACACTGAACTTTGAAAAAATATACACAGTTAAAAATAAAGAAGTTGAGAAATTGCAGATGTTACGCATGCACATTTCAAAACAAACACTTGCCTAAGATGCCAGAAGAGGAAATGTCCAATCTTGCGATTGGTCTGTGCACGCTCCAGTAAAAACCGGGTTAGGGCACAGTCGTAGTACGGCTCATAACGCAACACCTGCACCAACTGCAGCAAATACTGTGACAGCTCCTCATCACTGATAAATAAGAGAGAGAGAGAGAGAGAGAGGGAGCGAGAGAGGAGAGAGAGCATGATTATTTAGACTTTCAGAAACATCAAAACACCAAATGGTAAAGACTAAAAAGGATTCAAAATGCAATGACTTTTTTCCTTCAAATGTCTTATCCTAAATTAAGCTTGTTTGATGAAGTGTGTATATAGCAAAAATAATTCCAATTTTGCTTTCACAGCTGTACGAAGCAGCATTCTTGAGCAGGGGCTAGTACAATTAGTACCAGTAGTAACAAAAACAAAACAGACTATTTTTTACTAAACATGCAACAATTAGGAAAAGTGAAATAAGGACGGTGAAATAAATATACAAAAAGCAAGGAATAAATGGCAAATGTTTCAGGGTATGTAGATGTGTTTTATTACTCTCACACCACAATAATTAAAAATCATGTTTTGTCCATCTATCTTGCAAAGCTAGTACCACCTCGGATCACCACCTATGCCCTTTGAAGCCAAGATAATTTTAACAATGATACTGGATACAGTGTGTAATGGTTAAGGTGTGTAATGTAAAAGGTTAAGGTACAGTGCAATGTTTAAAGGGGACCAGTTATGCTGTCAAATGATCTTGTTCAAGTTTCCACCCATCTAAATAGACATTCAGAACAAAAATCGTAACTTGCAGTGCAATTCTTGAGATACTGAACTGTTTTATTTGAGAAGTAGAATCCCATAATCAAGAATGAAGCCAGATTTCTGCATCTCCCAGAATTCCTTCTATTTTAGTTTGTAGGGGTGTGGCTATATTGACACTGCATTGGCATGGCATGGCTTCATCTACTTTGAGTCAGTTAGCATTGCAACTTCAGTAAGGGTCTATATTTCTGTGGAATTATAAAGTCTTTACTCTGAGTTAGCCAAAATGCCAGCATGTGTTGTTAAAAGATGTACAGGAAGAAAAGCTAGCCTAAAGTTGATGCGGCTACAAATAACTTGAACTATAACACAAAGCATTATTTGTTCTGAGAAACATTTGTGTGTGTTCAAAACTATTCAAGTCCTGAGTTGAGGTAGGGCATTGGTAATTACTGAGCTAACCTTGTTTTAGCTGCTAGAAAGACAGATCACTTGAAAAGTGTTTATAAAATTTTTGTCTGAGATCAGTGCAGTTACCAGAGATATAAACTGAAGTATATTCCTTTAAGCTTTAAACAAAATAGGGTAAATCTAGTGGATCCACTATTTCTGCTGTGTGCGAGTTTAAAAGGGTTGGAAATAAACTCTTTTTGTTGTGAGTTCGAAGGGGTTGGGAATGTACAGACTGTTTCTGTTGTGTGTGAGTTTGAAGAGAGTTGAAGGGACAGTGCATTTCTGTTGTGTGTGTTAGAAGGGTTTTAGCTAGTGATGGGAGTAGCGAAATTAGGCATCATACTGCCAAAGTGATTTTCGGAAACAGAATACTCTTTCTGTTTGATAGATGAGCGAAGACATTAATGGTCTGGCTGTTCCTCCTTTTGTTCTCTAAAATGGCTTTATGGTAAGGAAAAAAATGCTAATAAAGTTTACCTTGACCTTGAAACAGCAAAATTAAGTTAAATGTTACCCACCAGTCAAGCAGAAACAGAACAATCTCCTCATCCCTTTTCATATCTTTCAACTCTCAATGAAGCTAAAGAAAAAAAGCTTCCTTTTTTACTAGCTTCTTGTTTGAATTTTCCCATTCCACCTAAAATGGTGCAGCAGTTACATAGAAAGTAATTGTGGCATCATTTAAGGTGGAATGAGAAAATTCAAATAACAAGCTGGTGAATATAAAGCCATCCTCGTAATTTCTTGGAGGTTTCTCTATTGTTGTAATGCCTCACTGTTGAATGTTAACATTTCCTGATCTAAAAACTTCTCTCTCAATCTTTGTTCTTCAGATCTTCTACTCTTTGGCTGTTCTCAGTCATCTCTCCTTCTTGACAAAAAGTGTATTGGGTTAAAATCGCTTACTGCACCTTCAATTGAAGTAAATTTAGTCTTTAAAAAATTAACAAAACCATCTGTGTCAATTATTGGCACCCCATACAGTGAAACTTCTCTTTTCTCTTTATATAACAGCAATGATTCTTCTACTACATTGCTTGATGAGACAACAGACCAAGGAATTTGAGACCACTCCTCAACACAGAATCTCTAGATCTTACAGTTCACCTCACAGGTTTTCAACAGGGTTTAGATCACAAAACTGGAATTAGCATGTGAAAAAGTTTGATTCTGTGGTCATTTAGTCACTTTTGTATGGATTTGGAAATGTGTGTTGGATCAGTGATCTGCTGGAAAATCCAACAATGACCCAGATTTAGCTTTCTGGTAAAGGCAGCCAAATTTTCATTTAAAACGTCCTGGTACTTCAAGAGGCCATGGCCATTCATACAAGCTTCAAAAGGTTCCCCATGGCTCCGATTGTTTTAAACTTCTTAGTTATGGAGGAGCAAGGTAATGCACTAGAGGAAGACAAGTTTCTGTCAGCTCTGTCATTCACCCATTAAACAATGTGACAACGACTACTTTGGCCCGAATATGCTCCCAAAATCAGACAAAAAAGCCAAGGAAAACGCACAGACAAGGGAGAAGACCAAGATCATGACTCTGCTGCAAGCGATACCTGCACTACGCAAATATTACAGACATTCTGGATGTTAAACCCCCAACAATTTGTTTTTTTACTGCCAGCAAAACTGACACTTTAATGAAATAGATAGAAAGATTTGAGAGCTCGAGACTGATCTTCGTGGAGCACTGGATCGTATCAAAGACCTTGAAAACAGGGGCTGGCAGCAAAATCCAAGAAATCTTGTCTAAAACTTTCTCAAAAACCTTCAGCAGCGAAGTGTGTCTGAGTAAGTGACATGGACAAGAGGTAATAAATGATGATTTTAGCCTTGAAAGCTATTAAATCTACGAGGTACTCTGTGTGTATGCTTGTAAAGAGGCTAAGAATGTTGTTTTTCATTCGACCTTTCCTCTTCTTCACTAACTTGCTTCTTTTTATATACAGACACTATAATATGACATTTGATGGTTAAAAGAAAATGTTATACATCTAAGACTGGTGAATAGTTATGAATAGGGGGCTAGACGGCATACGCACACACTCATTATTGGATAATATCTCACAAGGCTGTCTGTGAGTGCCATGGTTCAGGCCTTAATTCTGTGGCCTTAACGTCCTTCTGTGATTTTAATTTTGATTTAATATTTACGGTAGACAGTAAGCCAACACTATAACAGTGCACATCATGCATCATGCAACAGAAATGATCCGATGCCCACACTGTTCATTACTGCTTCTCAAAAAGAATTTTCACACACATTTGTAATATGTGCATACAGACAAATCTAAGGACATAACCATTATTGATCCATTCGTTGTGGAACCAAGTTATGAAAAGTGGGCTCCGTGGATTGGTAAGAAGACAAGGATGGGTCACAGTGTACTTAATACTGAGTATGAGAAGACGGCACCTGCAGCGGTTTCTTCGGCAGAAGCAGAAGTCCTGAATGTGTCTGAAAATCGGCTTGTGGATGAGTTAATAAAACAAAAGGTAAAAAGTTTTTTTAGAACATTGTAGATGAATTTGAATATTAATACAGTTAAATCAAGTCTTTTTGTTGAAGCACATCACATAATTTATCTAATCAAGCACATGTCAAGTTGTGGAGCAGTTTTTGCAAGTTTGCGCAAGAACAACTACTTTTGTTAATAAATATGGCTGCTTCAACATACATCTTTATGATGCACAACATTATTCATCACAAGGATACAGCGACAAATAAGAAACTTTAAGAGCTTTAGTTACGTGGCCATAGGCCCCACAAAATTAAAAATATTAAAAAATAAAAATATCACCCTCTCTGACTTGGGACAGGCTATACTAGGTTACTTGCCTACACATTATGAATGTTTTATATCTGCTTATTGTTTATTTTTATCAAAGTTATGGTGTATAATCCATCTTTTTTTAGCTCAACTATGTACTGGATGTTGAGAGACCAGCAAATGAATTGACTGCCCGCACTGCAAAGGCATGCTTGACCCGGTCAGACTTTTGGAGCCTGGGCTTAAATAAAGACGGAATAAACTGTGAGTTAATGGCTGTATTTGGACTCAGTTTTGTATCATAGAAATTTGTTGGCATGATCAGTGTATTAATATATAATATTTTGTATTATGTATGTCTTTTTTTCTAGATTGGTAATAGTTGTTTTCAGTTGATTGAAAACATTGCCCTATCAAAGGTAGAGTTTAAAGTGATTATAATCTCTCAGTTTTCTGGCTGTTCTTTTATGATGTCACAGCATTTTCACACAAAAATATTTCACAGGGGAAAGTCTACACTGCTGACCTGTATGTTGTGCCTACATGGCTTTCCACGACACACGGCCTCAAGTGCTCTATTGCTTTTACACAACAGTTAAACAAAAAGTAAGAAATAAATAAATTTGGCCGTGAATGTGGCATTTAATGTTTTATTGTTAGCAATTCCTTACGCCAAATTATAGTTCCTTAACAAGCAGCTTGTTGCTACGTCACAGTAACAAACTCCATTCAATCGCTGCACAGTATATGCTGGAAGCCTCGCCTTTTGAAGTATGGACTGAGCCATAAAACTGCTGCAATATCAATACCAATCAGCTTGCGTGCCCGGAAGTAACTGTTGTATAATTCTTGATAATTATCCTGTATCTGTTGTATTGTATATGATTGTATTATGCCTTCTCCTGGAATTGAGAATGTTATGTTAGGCTCCTCTTAATGAAATCCAAGACTGCATGTCTCCTTTAGGTTTTGAGGCCAGTCCAGAGAGAGACTGTCTTTTTAGACTGTAGATACACTTAGGCACCACTTGGATTTGGTGCCCAGAGATACACAGCTCTGTTGAGGTCACTAGATGAAGTGCAGTGCACGTTCTGTTCTGAGATGGTCACGTTCTTATGACCTGCCTCAAGCTAGTTTGAATGCATGTTGGAAAGAACATGTTCAGTTCTTGTTTGCTTATGCATGCGTAAGTTAAGGTTCCAGTTTGCTGAGTGCATGTACAGTGAGGATTTTTACATGTTATGCATGTTCTGTGGCACTGCCAGAGACATGACATTTTTTCGCTTGATTTTAACACTGTCATGTTTTGTTCATAATTGGCAGGGATCTTGCACACAGGATAAATCCAGGACAACGGACAGAAAAGACAGGCCTTGATTTAGAGGTACATGCCACTGCATTACAAACTGATCTTTTGAAACTATGATGTAAAACTTACATGCAATTGTTTTACCTTCCTAAAAGGAGTTTCCAGAACAACGATATGGCAATGACTGTTGTTTTCAAGTTAATGGTAAGACATGTATATCTAATAGTTTAAACTCCTCTCAGCATTTTGCTTCATGCTAATGGAAATTTTTATTTGCAGTCTGCCTTTTACATAGTGTTAGATGCACCCTTTAATTACACAGTTGTAAGTACATTTTACTATTTCTAATATCATTTTTAGAGACATTGATTTTTAAATATTATTGTGGACATTTACCTATGTTTTATGTACAGTATGACATGGCATACCTGCGGACATGGTGGTGCTTGATGCTGATGGAGAACATTGGACTGGACAGGTATGTCATTTGCATTTAAATAATAGAGAGCTTTGTTAAAATTTGAATAGCTTGGTAAGTTTTTGCATAATACACACATTGAGTTTTTCCAAGCCATGGAAAATTGTTTGCTCCCTGGACAGATGGAATCCAAAGCTCTCCTGAAAGGCGATAATCAGCCTGGATTCCAACTGAAAAAAAGGAGGTGTGAGGAGGTTTCTCAGATAAAAACGGAAATGGAAAGCAGACACTTAACAAATGTCACATTATTAGCACTTTATTAGGAACTTTATATCTACACTCATTGTCCATTTTATCAGCTCCACTGACCATATAAGAGCACTTTGTAGTTCCACAATTACAGACTGAAGCAGATAAGCTTCTCTGCATACTTTGTTACCCTGTTCTTCAATGGTCAGGACCCCCCATGACCTCCACAGAGCAGGTATTATTTGGGTGGTGGTCATTCTCAGCACTGCAGTGATGCTGACATTGTGGTGTCATGTTAGTGTGTGTTTTGCTGGTACGAGTGGATCAGACAGCAGTACAGCTGGAGTTCTAAACACCTCAGAGAACCAAAGAACCAAAAACATACAGCCACCAGTGTCCTGTGGGCAGCGTCCTGTGACCACTGAGGACTACAGAATGACCAACACAAACTGTGCAGCAGCAGAGCAGCTATCGTCTCTGACTTTACATCTACAAGGTAGAATAACAAGGTAGGAGTGTCTAATAGAGTCGACAGTGGGTGGACACAGTGTTTAAAAACTCCGGTCGCACTGCTGTGTCTGATCCACTTGCATAAGCACACACTAACACGCCAGCAACGTCAGTGTCACTGCAGTGCTGAGAATGATACACCACCCAAATAATGCCTACTCTGTGGGTCCTGACTATTAAAGAACAGGGTAACAAAGTATAATTTTACCTTCTTTTTTTTTTAAACCTACAGTGTATTGATGTTATTTGGAAATCATTTCAATACATTAAAATATTAAAAGATATTACAAATATTACATTGTGTATCATGGATAATTGTATAATTTAATTATACTCACGTTTCTTTGTTTAATTTATTTATAAGGGAGCGCATTATGGTGGATTTGAGAATAGCAAGCCAATGGTGTTTGGACTATTCTGATCAGTTCATCAGATTGGTTGAGCTGCCACACATACTGTGTGTGAAAAAGGAGGAAGCAGCTGAGGCTCTGCTACAGTACCAGAATAACATGGACACATTTTTGCGAGAGGAGGAGCAAGATGAGATTCTCAACCATTTTGCTTTAGCTTGATAAACCAATCATAGCGTACCATTATGCCTCGCTTTTCCCTCCCCTTTTTCACAAGCGGGAAGCCATGAATGAAAACACCGGTGAAGACTTAGTCCCCCTAAAAAAGTCAACATCAATAATATGGAAGTGGTTTGGATTTTCCCAAACTGACGTGACACACAGGTGATTTGCAAAGTTTGCACAGAGAAGGTTCTCATGTCAGACGGTAACACAACAAACCTTTCCAACCATTTAAAGTGGCATCAACAAACAGTACGCTGAGAGTCAAGCACTGAGGAGGTCCGCTACACTGCCGCCAGCAGAGGCTAACGCTAACATTACAGGAAGACCAAAACAAACAACGCTAACACAAGCATTTGAGAGAGGCGCTCCATATGACAAGACAAGTAAACGATGGAAAGAGGTAACAGAAGCAATAACATCTTATCTGGCAAGGTATATGGTTCCTATCAAAACAGTGAAAAACGAGGGGTTCCAAAGACTCCTCAAAATAGCTGATCCGCGGTACGAGTTACCCAGCCGCAAATACTTTTCCAGCACCACCATTCCACGGATGTACACTGAATGCCGTGCCAAGATAGAAAGCAAAGTTCAAAACGTGATTTTTTTTTCCCCAATAAGTGATACTGGCTGTTATGCAGAGTGCACTTTACCTGATTGGTGGTGTTTACCTTTTAAAAAAAAATGTAAATTTTTTGACTTGCGCAAAAATTGCAACACAGATTAAAATCTGTTCAAAAAGGTACTTTGGCCAAAATGGCCTGTTATTCTTTTTTCTTTTAGTATTTTTTAAAAGGGGAGATTAGTTTGGTTGTACTGTTTAGTAACTTGCAAATGGTATTAAAAACCAACATGAAAAAGAATCGTGATAAAATCGTGATCGTGAACCTGCAATCATGAAGTGATATTTTTGCCATATAATTTATTCATTTTTGCTCTTTATTCATTTTAAATTAAACTATATATATGTAAATAAATGCCTTCCGTTTAGTGACCGCTGGGATAGGCTCCAGCTCCCCCCGTGACGCAGAAGAATAAGCGACTTAGAAAAATGTGTTTGTGTGTGTGTGTGTGTATTTAAATAAATTTTATTAAAAATGTTCAACATTGTGACTTAGTTTAATAAATTGTGATACCTCTAACTACTTATGTATTGTGTAAAAGTGTAATATATATATATATATATATATATATATATATATATATATATATATATATATACACATACATACATACATACACACACACACACATTTAAATTAGTAAAGAATTAAACTGATCACATGAAACCTATAATTCATAAGGTTATATATGATAATTACACTGAATGGAAATTTTGCTTTGTCCTGTAGATATAATGGAATTCACTAATGATATAGGGATAAAGGGAAAAAAAAGAAAACTACCATGAGCATATTCTGTCGGTTTAATAAGCAAAAATGTCAAACAACGTACTGTTGGGCTGCATGAATTACACTGTATGGAATTTTAGCTGTGTTACAGAATTACTATAATGCAGAAAATGAAACTTGCTGCAATGTTTTGTGGTTTGATATGCAAAAAGAGCAAACCACGTACTGTTGGGCTGCGTTAGTAACACTGAATGGAATTTAGCTTTGTCATACTGATAGCAATGGGATTAAATAATGATATGGTGATTTACAAAATAAAACTTGACGTCTGATTTACAAGCAGAAATGACACTCATGAAAAATGCATTAAACAGAATTCTCTAGCTGTTATGTGGGGAAAATGGGTAAAATAATGATATGGTTATCATAGATAAAACAAACAAAAAAGATTCCTCTCAACTCGCTGAGCAGAAGCAGCCAAATGTTAACATGCAGTGTGACAGAGAGTGCATGTGCATGTGACATCACTGGGGCTGAGAGTGCATGTCTGCAGCCAGACTCTATTGGGTCCCAGGGTTTTTTTCACCTTCTGTCTGCTGAAAAGGTTGAAGATTGTTGTGCAATCTGCAGTAGAACTCATTCAGGTCATTGGTTGTGCTGAAGTTAAAAATGCTGTTGTCCTCACAGAAACTGATGCATGATGTCACAGTGCCTGTGTATTCATCTTGGCTGTCTGTTGCATCTTCAAAAGCAGTCCAGTTTCAAAAGCAGCCCTGTAGTTTTTCAATGTCCCCACTGGTCCACCTCTTCGCTGTTGTGATGACAGTTTATTATGGGCTGGTAGAAAGCCCATACAAGTAAAAACACTGCACCTTAACAGGTACCCAAACATTAGACACTATACAGTGAAATCACTTTTTACCATACAATTATATGAATTATTCATCACTGGTTCGACCACCACTGCTTAGACCATCAGGTTGCAATTGAGTGGAGATGGAGACACACTTCAGTAAAACCATATGCCTTGCTAATCTTTTAGGTAGAAAAGTGTGTTCTGATAAACATGTCTGCATATCAGGTAAACATTTTTTCCAAGAACAACATTGTGCTTGGGTGGGGTTGATTTAAATGAATGATTTTTTACATGTACACTGTAAAAACCTATTTGGAGTTTTACCTTATAAAAGTAGGTAGCTTACCTACAATTTTTATTGTACAACCCCAATTCCCAAAAAGTTGGGACGCTGTGTAAAATGTAAATAAATGTAAATAAAAATTATTAAAAATGATTTGCAAAACTCATAGACAATATTTTATTCACAATAGAACACAGAACACATATCAGATGTAGAAAGTGAGATGTTTTACCATTTTAATGAAAAATATTAACTCATTTAGAACTTGATGGCAGCAACGCATCTCAAAAAAGCTGGGACAGGGTCATGTCTACCATCGTGTAGCATCCCCTGTTCTTTTAACAACAGTCTGTAAACGTCTGGGAAGTGAGGAGAACAATTGAGTGAGGAATTTTGGGAGTTTTGGGAGTGGAATGTTGTCTGATGTAGGATTCCAGCTGCTGAACAGTCCTGGGTCTTCTTTGCCAGATTTTTTGTTTCATGATGTGCCAAATGTTTTCTATTGGTGAAAGAAAGCCAGTTCAGCACCCCGACTCTTCTTCTGTGAAGCCATGCTGTTGTGATGGATGCAGTATGTGGTTTAGCATTGTCTTGATGAATTATACAAGGCCTTCCCTGAAAGAGACATTGTCTGGATTGGAGCAAATGCTGTTCTAAAACCTCTATATACTGTTCAGCATTGATAGTGCCTTTCCAGATGTGTAAACTGCCCATGCCATAGGCACTAATGCAGCCCCATACCTTCAAAGATGCAGGCTTTTGAACTGTGGGCTGACAACAAGATGGATGGTCCATCTCCTCTTGAGTCCGCAGGACACGGTGTCCGTGATTTCCAAAAAGAATTAAAAATTTTGATTCATCTGACCACAGAACAGTTTTCCATTTTGCCTCAGTCAAGTTTAAATGAGCTTTGGCCCAGAGAAGACGGTGGCATTTCTGGATCGTGTTGCCATATGGCTTTTTCTTTACAAGATACAGCTTTAACTTGCCTTTGTGGATTGCACTGCGAACTGTGTTCACAGACAATGATTTCTGGAAGTGTTCCTGAGCTCAGGCAATGATTTCCAGTAAAGAATCATGCCTGTTTTTAATGCAGTGGCGCCTGAGGGCCCGAAGATCATGAGCATCCAATATTGACCGTCAGCCTTGTCCCTTGCGTACAGGGATTTCTTCAGATTCTCTGAATCTTTTGATGGTATTATGTACTGTACATGGAGGGATATCCAAAGTCTTTGCAAATTTACGTTGATACACACTTTTTCGCAGATTGGTGAAGCTCTGCCGATGACTGCTTCTGAGAGACTCTGCCTCTCTAAAATGCTCAGTCATGTGACTTAGTTGCAAATTGCTCCTCTAGCTATTTTTTATTAGTACCACTTACTTTTCCAGCCTTTTGTTGCCCCTGTCCCAACTTTTTTGAGAAGCGTTGCCGCCATCAAGTTCTAACTGAACATATATATCTGTGCAGGCCAGTCAAGTTCTTCCAGACCAAACTCACCCATGCCTTTCTGGAGCTTGCTTTGTGCACTGCGGCACATTCATGCAGGAATAGAAAAGGGGCTTCCCCAAACTGTTCCCACAAACAGAGGTGTAAGTAACGAATTACATTTACTCTTGTTACTGTAATTGAGTACAGTTTTCCCTGTAACAGTACTTTTTGGAGTAGAATTAAATAATAGTACTTTTACTCATATTTGAGTTAATTTTTAATAAAATACTTTTACTTCGCTACTTTAATTTTCATAACATTACAGAGTAAAAATAAATTATGAGCGTATCAGCTCAGACACCAATACAAACGAAGGGTGGTTAAAATGAAAAGATTCACCAACCAGCTCTAACTGGAAAAACAGTACAGAGATGTCCTGTTTAGTGAAGAAGGACAGAGGAGAACTGAACCAGCACACACGAGGAACAGACCGCACCAAACGGTTGTCTGTATTCATTTTCACATGAACTAAAGAAAACGGCGTTATTATCAGCGGCCACACACGAAACCTGCTGAGATCTGCTTTACAACTTGACTCCAGCCTGAGGCAGCGTTAACTGAGCTAGCTGATCCGAGCTGAACAGGTACCGTGTTTACGAGTTTCTTCTTTCTTTTAGAATGATTCTGTTTATTACATCGTTGACAGGCCTGATCTGATCCCGCCCTCTCTCGCTCTCTCTCTCTGTCTCTTCCTCTCTTTCTATCTCTCGCTCTCTCTGCCTTGGTGTTTGTCTTTAACTGTGAGAGGCTGTGTAGCTGTTTAACTGTGAAAAATGCAGTAACAATGTCTGATTCTGTATGAAGTGATCAGCATGATTAGTGAAATAAATTAACGCTGGGTAAATTGCTGATGTTGCTACTGATTTTAATGGTGTACATGTTCTGAATAGATATCAGTGAAAATATACAGTTTGAAGGCTGTGAGAGGTTTACACCTATTAACATAAGCTAGAGTCCAGGGAGCTGATGGGCAGCAGGACTGTCACTAAAATCACATTATTAATTAAGCAATTTACTCATAATTTTGACTCTTTTTTTCCTCTTAAGTGTACTTATTGAAACAGTAACATCCTCTGCACAGTCTTTCAGGGATTCTGAAATACTTTACAGAACAGATAAACAGATAAACTAGGACATCTTATATAATCATCTAACCATGAAATGCATGCAGTTTAATGTAAACTTCATTCCTTACACAGCTCACAGAAAGCTGTGTAAATATTCAGTAGCAGAGCGAACTGTGATCAGTCTTAGCTCTCAGAACTTTAGCTTTAGTGTTTTTCTGTACAGATTATTTCCAGTGATGTAGCCGAGTCAGTTCAGAAATATGTTCAGGTTGTGACAGCGGAAATACGAAAAAGTAACTAAATAACTCAGTACTTAAGTAGTTTTTCAGCGAACTACTTATTTACTCTTACTTGAG